GGAGGGTATGGACTTTACTATTTATTACGATGATTCTGGAGTCAGGCTGGGGTGTTTTGATGCAGAAGGGGAAGGTGATCGCCTATGCTTCTAGGCAGTTAAAGACCCATGAGAAGAACTACTTTACTCATGATTTAAAGTTGACAATTGTGGTATTTCTACTTAAGCTATAGCGGCATTATGATGGCATTATTTGTATGGGGTGCATTGTGATTTCTTCACTGACTATCAGAGTCTTCAATACATTTTCAGTCAGAGGGATCTGAACTTGAGGAAGCGTAGATGGCTTGAATTACTAGAGGACTATGATATCACCATATAGTATCATCCGGGGAAGTCCAATATGGTGGATGATGTTTTGATAAGGAAAACTTCTAGTATGGAGAGTCTTGTTGCTATTAGTGTTGAGGAGAGACCATAAGCTAGAGATGCTCAGAGGTTAGCCAACAATCTTGTTCGGTTGTAGATTTCTGAAGAGAGTGGTGGTTTGATTGCTTTCTTAGAGGCCCAATATTCCTTAGTTTAGCAGATTTGTGAGCATCAATTCTACGATCAGAAGTTGTGTCTCATTCGAGACAAAGTGTTGAGAGGGGAATCCAAAGAGATTGTCCTTGATTTTGATAGTGTCTTGAGGATCGGAGGCATGATTTTTGTACCCAAAGTGGGAAAGATAATTATACTGATTCTTTAGGAGGCCCATTGTTCTTGGTATTCCGTTCATCTGGGAGCGGCAAATATGCATCATGATCGAATCAGCATTACTGGTGGTGTGGCATGCATAGGGATATTGCAGATTTTGTATCTATATGCTTGACTTACCAACAGGTCGGAGGTGTATATCAGATGATGCATATTCCTACATTGAAATGAGAGCGTATTACTATGGATTTTGTTGTGGGTTTACCTACCACCGTTGGTGGTTATGACTCCATGGGTGGTTGTATATAGGCTGATCAAGACCGCCCATTTCATCCCTTTTTGGGTGTAGTATACGACGGAGAAGTTAGCCCATCTTTATATCAGTCAAATTTTCCACTTCATGGAGTCCCTGTTTCCATTGTTTTCGATCGAGGCTTATTGTTCACTTCTCATTTATGGAAGACTTTACCACACAGTTTGGATACTCAGTTAGATATAAGTACTACCTTTCATCTTCTGATTGACGGGCATTCTGAGTGGACGATTCAGGTGTTGGAGATATGCTTCGAGCATGTGTGATCGACTTTGGGAGTAGATGTGATCATAATTTGCCCTTGGTAGAGTTTGCCTACAACACTATTTATCACTATAATATTCATATGGGCCTATTTGAGGCATTGAATAGCAGTCAGTGTATATCTCTGATCAGTTGGTTTAATTTGGATTAGATGGAATCTTTAGATACATACTTGCTTAGAGAGGCTATGGAGTAGGTTCATATGATTCAGAGTAGACTGTTGATAGCTAGAGTCGATAGAAAAGTTATGCAGACCAGAGAATTCAAGCCCTAGTATTTATGGAGAGTGATCATGTTTGGCTCCGAGTGTTACCCATGAAAGGTGTGATAAGGTTTGGGAAGAAGGGAAAGCTTAGCCCTAGGTTCATTGTCCCTTTTGAGATTTTGATCTAAGTAGGAGAGATGACCTATAAGTTGGCCTTTCCTTCTAGCTTATCAGTTATGCATCCTATGTTTCATATCTCCATGCTCCAGAAGTACCTGCAAGATGATTCCCATGTGCTTTCACTTGATTCAATAGTGTTGGTTCCAGACTTGTCCTTTGAGGAGGAGCCTATAGCCATATTGGATAGGCGGGTATGAAAGCTCCGGGCCAAGGAGATTGCTCCAGTGAAGGGGCAGTATAAGGACCGTTCAGTTGGTAAGGTTACTTGGGAGACAGAGTCTGACGTGTGCGCAAGATATCCTCAACTTTTGAGGCTCCAGGTACTTTCTTTTACTTTATGTTCGAAGACAAACATGGTTTTTAGTGGTGGATAATGTAATTACCCAATCAGTCATTTTTGGAAATTTTGTAAAATTTACTATTTCAACTATCCCAATATTGACCCCTAGCTATATTTTGAAGTTTTTTTCAAGCTTTGAGTAAAAATTTATGAATTATGTATGTTTTGGGCTTTGAAAGGCTAAAGTTGTTAAAAATTAGTTTTTGGTCTCTTTTAGAGTTTTGAGTGTCGGAATGGAATTACGTCGATTCCATTAGTCCCGAAATGTGTAAATTTGTCTAGAAGAGTTGTCAATCTCATATTCGGAGTCTTTTTGAGGATTTGTGGTTCAAAGTTGAAACAATGTAAAATTTTAGCCTTTGGGTTGACTTTGGTCAACATTCGGAGTTTGGGTGCTTGGATTAGAATTCCGAGAGTTCCATTGGATTGGAGGGATGATTTTAGGCCTAGGTGAGGTCTTGGTTAAATTTTTAGAGGTCTAAGCTTGATTTTAGCCTTTTTGGGTGTTATGTTCCTTTCACAGATGTCGAGTCAAGGAGACTTCATATTTGTGTTCGATGGTTCCACTAAATTCGGAATGTCAAATATAATCAAATTGTATATTTGGTTTGTATTTACGGGGTTCTGAATGAATCCTAAGGATCTATTTGGTGATTTGAAAGTTGGTTGTGGTTTCCTAGTGTCTATTGACCTCATGATTGCAAAGGACCTTTGCTTTCGCAAGGGTCGCATTAGCAAAGACAGGTTTTATTTTGTGAAGGATCAAGTGGTCAGACCTTTGCAAAAGCGAAGGTCTGTTGAAGATCACGAGCTTCGCGTTAGTGAAGGTCAGCTCACAGAGTGAAGGCTAAGTATTTTTTGGGGTTCGCTTAAGCGACATCAGAGAGGGTTTTGGCCTGCAATTTCGGGGTTTTACCCCATTTTTTCCCATTTTGAGTCTTGGAAAATCCTTGGAGTGAATTTCAATGAGATTTCTTGTGCTAAATCATTTGGGTAAACCTTTGTGACCATAAAACTTCAAGTCTCTTTTCATCATTAATGGATATTAACATCAAAACTTAGGATTTTGATTGACAAATTGCAAGGGTTTTCAAGAACATGAGTTCTAAAGTAAAATGGTGATTATGAATTGATTTTAATTCATTTTTCAAAATAGTTTTCTGCAACGAGTTCCAAATGCCTTGGGATGAAAGAAGTACTCGTATTCTAGCTTAGTTTTGCCTTGTTTAGTAGGTTTTTTGTTGAGCACCATGTTGTTCGATACTCACCCAGACCCATGTGATCTTTGTTTTTCATCTATTTTCTAAGCTTTCTGAGGATACATTGAGAGGTAGCTACTTGTAATCCCAGAGGACCCTTTTGTTCCTTACTTTATGTTTTGTTCTATTCAAGAAACAAACGCATAGAGACTTGTATTATCTTTCAAATTCTGCATTATTATACTAGTGGCTTATACACGTGACAACCAAGTTTTGAGGTTATTGTAGAATGACTAAGTTATGCTTTATTGCTATTATTATTTTACTTTTCGTATTTCTTTTGTACTGTTGGGTTTGAGGCTGACTTGCTATTAATATAAATTCATTTATTGTTGATAATGATAAAAAAAAAAAAAGGAAATGATTGTATGTTATTTAAATTGATTTTTTTTTTTCTAGCTTTATTTGAGGTATATGATGATGATTTTTATAGCTCCAATTATTTTTTTTGTGTTCTTAACTTATAAATGTCATTTCAGGAGGAGTAAATAATAACAAAAAAAATTCACTGCTAAGAAGTAAATTCTATTTATTCTGATGACATTTATATTTTCTTTTCAACACATATTGAAAGTTGAAGAATAACATATCTCAGTGAAATATTAAACATGATAACTCATTATTATAGAAATTATCATTCTTCATAATAAATGAGTTCCAATGGAATTTAGAATAAATTTAAAATTGTAATTAATATTGTGTTCACTCAATTTTCATTATATCATATTGGATCTCTGACTAATTCGGATTTCGAGGGACACTCTCTAACAATTTTTTTCACATTCAAGGCTCAAACTCGAGACCTCTGGTTAAGGATGGATGGATTGTATACATCCTACCACAACTATTGTTGGTACTAATAATAACTTAATTCACTCTCTCTTGCATATTCTGCAATATGTTGGATTAAGTTGTTGAATTCTACCAACAATATTGTGTTGGAGTAGAAGTTAATATTCCTTCATCCTTAACTAGTGGTGTCAAGTTCGAGTCTTGGGCATGAGTTACCTTTGTTAGAAAGAGGTTTACCCTTATTTTGGAACTTTACATTATACGAATCTAATTGAGGCTCAATAAGAATATTGGACACCAAGTAAAAAAACATTTTCTTCTTGTACTAATGAAAATCAGACATTTGCACCAAAAAAAAAAATTGGGGGTGTGCTCAAAGATTATGAGATTAGTCTCATCAAATCTCCATCTTCTAGTGAATAACTCCACAATCTCCTTAATGAAAATATTTACTTTTTATTTATTTTGTGTTCTCTACATATAAAGTATCTTTCTTCTTTTTTTGTGCTATAATTAGTTAGATTCATTTAGTGTTTATTACGATAATTTTTTGTGAAGGAGATGATTGTTCGTCAATTAGATTAATTTTATGCCTAGTTTTCATTGTGGTGTAGTATGATGATTTTATAGGTCTAAATAAAAATGTTGTGTTCTTAAATTACTAAATGGCATGGTATTGAATCAAAATCAGGAGGAGTAAATTACAATAGAAATTCACTAGTAAGATGTGAATTCTATATATTCTGATGTCATATTTATATTTTCTTTAAAGTTTCTTTTAAACACATATTGAAAGGTAAAAAATAACACATCTCAATGAAATATTAAACGTGACAACTTATTATTAATATTATATAAATTATCATTCTTCTAGATAAAAGAGTTCCAATAGAATTTGGAATAAATTATAAATTATAATTAATATTATTTCACTCGTTTCAATATATTATATTGAATCCCCGATTAATTTGACTTTCGAGGGACACTCTCTAACAAGATTTTCTTCATATTCAAGGCTCAAACTCGAGACCTCTGGTTAAGATAGATGGATCATATATATCCCACCACAACTTTTGTTGGTACTAATAATGACTTAATTTACTTTCTCTTAAAAATTAGGCAATATGTTGGATTTATTTGTTGTGTTCTACCCACAAAGATTTGGTTGAGTGGAAGTTAGTATTTATTTATCCTTAACCAGAAGTGTCAAGTTCGAGTCTTGGACATGAGTTACCTTGGTGAGAAAGAGGTTTACCCTATATTTGGGACTTTTTGTTATTCAAATCTAATTGGGTCATAGGTGTGGAAATATGTGTTAGAAAATAAAGAGGTTATTGAACAGAACATATGGTGGGAGAAAAAGGGAGGTACTTTTAGCATTTGGTATGATAATTGGATCGGTCTTGGTCCGTTATATCTCCAAACTTATGAATTTCTGGGGTGTCATGTAGATGTTTTCTTGAAAGGGGATGGTTGAGACTTTAGTATTATGCAATACATCTAACTTAATAACCTAGTTGAGCATATTAGAGTAAATGAGAAATTCACTATCAAATCTACTTGGTACATCCTCAGAAATAGATCTCCCTCTAGTGATGACTTTAAGAAGTCGTGGGTGACTGAGATTCCTTTTAAAATTTCCTTTTTTGGATGTAGGGTATGGACATAAAGAGTTCATGTGACTGATATGGTATCTTCTTGGGATCCTAACATTTCTAATTTATGTGATTGTTGTAGATCTCTTATGTGAGGGAAACATTAGAACATTTATTCTTATTGGGAGAAATAACTACTTTTATTTGGAATTACTATGCTAGGGCTGCTGGATTACTAGGTCCTTGGGTATACGTTAAACAAACTATGAAGAAATGGTGAGAGTTCCAAGGTAAATGTAGAGTGAAGATGGTTTGTCAAGAAATTCCTAATATTATTCTTTGGTTTCTATGGAAGAAAAGGAATACAATTTTACATGGTGGTTCTTATTCTAGTGACAAAGTTATATGAGATATCAATGTTGCCATTCATAAGTTTGTTAGGTTAAAGTTCAACTTCTTAACTTTCCCTAATAATTGGCCTCAGATGATTTGTCAATTGTTAGGGTGGTTGAAATGTAATATTGATGGAGCTTTTAGAGGTAATTCAGGTCCAAGTGATGTTGCATTCTATGTGATAAATCATGACGACAATATAGTGGGAGCTAAATGCGTACAAATTGTTGATTCAACTAACTTAGTGGCTGAGGCTTAGGCAATAAGTGAAGGGTTTCAATACTGTTTTGATAAAGGGTTCTCCAATATTATCTTGGAATCAGATTCACTATCTATGGTTAACATTATTAATGGAACCTATGAGGTTCATTGGAGTGTTTCAATGGAAGTCAATGAAATAAATAGGATCAGAAGTGTCATTATAGTGAGAGTACAACACTTCTTAATGGAGGAAAATACTCTTGTTGATCTTTTCGCTAACCTAGTTTGTAGTTTGGCTGATACATATGAATTAAATTCATTTTAAGAAGTTTCAAGTAAAGGGAAGAGAATTATCAATCTTGATAAATATAGTACTCAAATAATGATAATTAAGAAGTTGAACTCAACTAATAGTTACAATTAAGAGTTAGAAGGTTTGCTATCTTTTGTACAAGTTACACTACTCAGATACAAGCAAGGCTATAGAAGACGTTTTTGGATTGATGTCTAGTTAAATTTGAAGAAATTTTGATTGATTGACAATTTTGAACCCGGTGAAACCTTTGAGGTGTTCATTTGATACTAAATAAGGACTTAAAAGTATTACTCATTAACTTCAGATCAGCCGAACATAATTTAACTCAATCACAATTTTCTATTGTAACATATTTGAAATAGTTGTCCAATTTAATATATAGACTTTTTATGGTGGTATTAATTCATATTGAGGGATTATTTCCATTTACAGATAGGTGATGAACGGGAAAAATTATTTCAAGTAAAGTTCGAATACATGATAGCAGTAATATAGCTGAGTTGGCTGCTTTAGCACTAATATTGCTGACTACTAACCCCTATAGTTTGCGATCTTATTCAAAAGCAACTGCATTCCCCACAGAAGATGATAGTAATTATCCACCACAAAAAAGGAGTGAAGTTGTGAGATATCAAATCTAAATTCTTGACAAATTGAGTATGAAATTGGAAAATAACTCAAAGTGGTAGAAACTTATCTGACATCATTATTTCATATTCGTCTAAACTTAGGCCCAGATCTAGCTCACAGAAGTGGTAAAATCAGTGTCAGCCATTGGTGGGGAGGAGACTTTATCAAATGAAATTATTCTTGGTTTAATCTACTCAAGTCAAGATGTGAGATATCAGATCTAAATCCTTGACGAATTGAGTTTGAAATTGGAAAATAACTCAAAGTGGTGAAGATTTACCTAATATCATCATTTCAGATTTGTCCCAAATTGGGATCCAAATCTAGATCACAGAAGTGGTAACACCAGTGCTAGCCATTGGCGGGGTGGAAACTTCATCAGATGAAATTATCCTTGGTCTAAGCTCTTCAAATGAACTTGTATGATATCATATCTAAATCCTTGATGAATTGAGCTTGAATTGTAAAATAACTCAAAGTGGTAGAGGCTTACTTGATATCATGATTTCAGATTCGTCCCGAGTTGAGATCCAAATCTAGCTCACAGAAGTGGTAACAATAGTGTCAAGCGTTGGCGAGAGGAAGCTTCTTCCAATGAAATTATCCTTGGTTTAATCTATTCAAGTACAGTTGTGATATATCAGATCAAAATCCTTGACGAATTGAGTTTGAAATTGGAAAACAACTCAAAGTGGTAGAGACTTACCTTATATCATCATTTCAGATTCGTCCGGGGTAGAGATATAGATCTAGCTCACATAAGTGGTAACACCAGTAATAGCCGTCGGTAGGGAGGAAACTTCATCCAACAAAGTTATCCTTCGTTTAATCTCTTCAAGTGAAGTTGTGGGATATCAGATCTAAATCCTTGATGAATTGAGTCTAAAATTGAAAAATAACTCACAGTTGTAGAGACTTACCTGATATCATCATTTCAGATTCTTCCAGACTTGAGTTCAGACCTAGTTCACAGAAGTGGTAACACCAGTGCCAGCCGTTGGCCAGAAGGAAACTTCATTCAACAAAATTATCCTTCGTCTAATCTATTCAAGTGAAGTTGTGAGATATAAAATCTAAATCCTTGACGAATTGAGTTTGAAATTGGAAAATATATCAATGATGTAGAGACTTACCTAATATCATCATTTCAGATTTATCCCAAGTTGAGATCCAGATCTAGCTTATAGAAGTGGCAACAGTAGTCCCAGATCAATATATATATATGTATATACATATACATATATATGTATATATGCATATATCTATATATATATATATACACACATATCTATGTATATATATATATATATATAGATATATGCATATATACATATACATATGTATGTATATACATATATATATGTATATGTATGTATGTACTTCGCTTCAACTATAACGACCTGTTCCGTCGTTATAGAAAAAGCCAATGGGGAAGGAATTTGGACCAAAAAACTTTTGAGTAGTAACTTGGAAATTTCTAGCCTAGTCCAGACATGGATGAAATCTAAGTCAGGTGAGGTCTAGATAAATCTGGTAATGAATAGGGGATATAATTATGAATTTGATCACATGAGTGGTTATCCAAGACGTTAAGGTGCCTGTACAGCTTTCCGGAATCGAATTCAGGCGAGTAGAATTCTTGAAACTAATCTTGGAGTGAAAGGGTTGTTTTAGAATGTCCTTGGTTAAAGGTGAGTTGTGAAATGGAAGCTTGGAACTCAAATTCTGAGGTCTTGTCTCTGTGCAAGCCACCGGGGTCCAGCCAGGGAGGGGACGCAATGGTGGGATAGGGTTCGCCATGGTGAGCTAGTCGTGAATTAAGTCGGGGAAAAACCCCAATTTCGTTATTTTCTGCAAAACTTCATTCTTAAGAGCTAAGGGACGACCCAGGACAATTCTTGACAGTTTTCCATGATTTATAGCGCTAAAGGTAAGGAAATTACTCCCCTAATTCGTATTTCGATTCCTAGAACTTAGAATCTTGGGTAATTATCGTTTGGGGAGGGTTTTGGCCTGAAGTTGATGGTTGGAAAAGCCCTAGTTGAGTATTAGGATCTTGGATTTGGCCTTAGATTGATAGTTTGATTATTGTCCGGGTAAATTAGGCTTTGTTTATTGATCCTTGCGTTAAGTACTTGTTTATAGACCAAGAACAAGCTCAAAGACTTCAGAAAGGGAAGACTCAAGTGTCTTAGGAATATTTAGGCTTAGTTTCGAGGTAGGTGATGGTTTTATTTCCCGTTGTGTGATATATGCCGATTAATTGCTTCACTGTATGTGTGCATGTATGTAAATAGGAAAATGTGAATCAACTCTAATGAAATGATTATGTGTGAACAATGCATGCTATGAACTTGTTACTTAATTGTATGACTATGAGTATTGTGCATTATGGGTGTGATTGTGACTGTGGCTATGATGACTAGATCGAGTGTCATGTTCCGACACATATATTAGATCAGGTGTCACATTGTTGTCACACCTCGAGCCTACACCTTTGACGTGACCGGCACTCGAAGACCATCGCTCGCCCCAAGCTGACCCTTGGCCTGGCTTACTTAACTCAGCGGAAGACTTAACTCAACAGAATAAACTCAATGTAATAGTTTAAATGATAACATCTTAGCCAAAATGGCAACTTATGTCTCAAAACAAAGTATCTGTAAATACATAGATAAGAGACTCAATACTAATTGTCTGACTGTCTATGAAGCCTCTATAATACTGAGATAGATGTTAAGACAGACCCCACAACATCCTAATAGAGAAAAACTAGAAAAGCGAAATAAAAGACTCCTTTGAAATGCAAGGAGACTCTCCACTGACTCTGGAGTGCCCAACTGGATCAACGGCGCACTGGATGTTGATCCTGGTTACCTGCGTCTGCATCATATTAAGATGCAGGCCAACTGGCATTAGTACTTTGAATGTACGAGTATGCGAGTTGGAATGCTAAACCACAACTTAAGCTTGAAAGGAGTACAAAAGAACACTTACCTTGGCTCTGTTTAACTCATGAATAACTTAACTCAATATAAAGCAATAAGACACATGCAATTTATACATATATAAAGCTTGTAAAACAGTGTAAA